CCCCAAAACCCCAAAACCCCCCCAAAACCCCAAAACCCCATAATTCAAATTTGAGGTAGAAATTGAATTAATAAGAATAAATAGTTTAAGAATAAGTGATATAAAAAGTCCCGCTAAATGATCACTTCCCTCAATAATCTCAACTTGTCTCCAAATAACTAAGAACTTATCGATTGCCAGCCAGAGGATGTTCTTTTAGACTTTAATAGTTAAACTAATCAAAACCATATTTTATAAGAGGAGTCTGATAAACTGATAGAAATCTCACAAGAAATTGAAGCTTTTGATAAATAAATGACTTAGCAATAACTAGGGGTATTCAGAGCTATGTCGGATAACTTTGGAGATCAGACTTAACTCAACGAAATTGTAGATATCACATATCATCGAACTATTAAAGGTTAAAAAGGACGGCAATATTATTGCGTTTGGAAGAATCATGATCCAACTTGGGAAAACGAAAAGCTAATTAAGAATTAAGTTGAGGCTTTAATCACAAGTTATTGGCTTAATATTGGCAAGTAAATTGATGCTGAGAATAGAAAGTACCCTGATGATCTTGAGACGCTTAAGAAAAATAATAATGTCTATATATAATAACCTAAATCAATGTCAGGTTATGAACTAGAAAGACCTGTAAAATAAAATTTAATAAAGAAATCTGTACTTCATGTAACAAGAAAAAGACTCAAGACCTGCTCACCTAGTAAATTTGAAAAAAAATTTACACTAACCACATCCACTATACTTCTCACAGAAATATCTCCTCAGAAAGAAAATATATTAAGCTAAGATAATCTCTCTCAGTAGTCTTCAGCAACTATGTCTTACTAAGATATTGAAACTGCATTACTTTCAAATATTGGCAACTGGAAGAAGTAAAGAAGACTTGGAAATAAAGACATATTCAAATGTAACGAATGTGAAACTCTAATGGAAGTTGAGAGGAAACAGCAAGAACAAGTAGTTCGTATCATTAATTTTAATAAAGACACAATTCATCACCAATGGTTTGATTAAAACCATCTTGAGCCATTCTCAACAAAAGAGTCTCTGATAAAATCTGATAAAATACATACTAGTGTGGAAGCTTTCATAAAACTCCAAATGAGAGAGAAAAGGGGTTATACGCCTCAAGAAATTCTAGAGAACTTGAGAAGAGAAAGACCCCAGCTATACAAGAACTTTAAGCCTTCAATCGAATAAATCGCTTACTTTATACTTGGAAACACCAGAGAGTTGGCTACAAAAGTTGAAAAGTTTAACAATCAAAGAATTACTAGAAGTAAAAAGAAGAAGAGTCTTTCAAATAGATTTCCTCAGTCCTTAGACGACATTCCAAAGAAAAAAAGATAAGTGAAATCAGATAATAAGATGGGTGAATACTATAATAAAGTACTTAGAGCAATTAAAATAGATGATTAAAACAACCAATCTCTAAATATAGCTCAAGAAAAAGAGACATATAATGTTTTAGTAGAAAACCCTAAATAATAAATTGAAATAATAGAAAATAATGAGAATCTACAGCCAAACTAATAGTAGAGCATAGTGAAAGAAGTAAAATAGCCAGAGAAAAATATTGGTCACAGAGTAACGTTCAACAACATTGTTCAATAATAAATATTTGAAAAAGTTTAGTATTCAGATGAGGATGAAAAATAGCTACAGTCTAAATTCTAACAAGATTTTGAAGATTCTGATAATTGTTCTCCTTCAAAGTAAGGATATAGCGAGTCAGATGAAAAAATTAATGAAGAGGATTTATCCATTTATGATAGCATAGATTCGGATTAAGAGCAATTTGATAATGGAAATTTTTTGAAGTTTATTAAGCATTAAACTTTGAAGGCAAATCAAGAGAGAGACTTCTTAATGAATTAATTGAAAACCAAGGAGAGAAGAGGAAGTATCTTCATAGATAAGGTGAAAAAGGTAATCACAACAATTAAAAGAGATAGCGACTAAGATAAATACGACTACCTAATTGAATGGGAATTCAATAAGGAAGATCTAATTATTCCTTCTACATCACTAGTGAGAGGATCTTTATTTGCCTTCTGCTGCCCACTCTAATTTAGAAGGTTTGCTGAGAAGAAATACAATTGAATGAATTTAATAAGATTTAAACTTAATAGACAATTAATGACAGTTAAATTTTCATAATATTATAGCTAATTAAAATGAATCAAACTTTCAATATACTTAGTTTAAATTACTATATTCAAAAGTACTTTCCATGCATTCAAATGATAAAGAATAGGGGTTTTGGGGTTTTGGGGTTTTGGGG